GTAAAGATTCCTGATTCAAAACACAGAAACTTGAAGATATTCAACAGATAAGGCCAAACTACGGTTAAATCCATATTCTTTTTTGTTTTTTTGAGACAAAGTCTCACTCTGTTGCCCAGGCTAGAGTGCCGGGGCGTCAGCCTAGCTCACAGCAACCTCAAACTCCTGGGCTCAAGCGATCCTTCTGCCTCAGCCTCCCGAGTAGCTGGGACTACAGGCATGTGCCACCATGCCCGCTAATTTTTTTTTATATATATATCAGTTGGCCAATTAATTTCTTTCTGTTTATAGTAGAGACGGGGTCTCGCTCTTGCTCAGGCTGGTTTTGAACTCCTGACCTTGAGCAATCCGCCCGCCTTGGCCTCCCAAGAGCTAGGATTACAGGCGTGAGCCACAGCGCCCGGCCCCAAGCACTCTTTTTAATAGAAATAAAATTAAAAAAACAAGGCCAGGCGCGGTGGCTCACACATGTAATCCTAGCACTCTGGGAGGCCGAAGCGGGTGGATTGCTCAAGCTCAGGAGTTCAAAACCAGCCTGAGCAAGAGCTAGATCCTGTCTCTACTATAAATAGAAAGAAATTAATTGGCTAACTAATATATATATAGAAAAAATTAGCTGGGCATGGTGGCGCATGCCTGTAGTCCCAGCTACTTGGGAGGCTGAGGCCGAAGGATCACTTAAGCCCAGGAGTTTGAGGTTGCTGTGAGCTAGGCTGACACCACGGCACTCTGGCTTGGGCAACAAGAGTGAGACTTTGTCTCAAAAAAAAAATTAAAAAACAAGAAACAACGTAGATCTACATTGACAGAAGAAATTTCTCGATTGACAGGAGAAAGATAATCACAGCATTTTTGTGGGTTAGGACATCATTCCTCAGTGACCCAAGTGAACTAGTCAGGTATACCCATGGGATTAAGTGTACCAAGCATCAAATGAAACAAGGATGCAGAAGAATACCGTTTATATGAAGTTCAGACTAGATATGTATAGTGCATAATATATAACTATAATATAATATAGTATATACATATGAAGGATGGAAATAGATGCAAATAGAATCTCTCTCTTTAAAAAGAGTGCTTGGGGGTAACACGTCTGCGCTTATCCTAAAGCTTCTGAAGCTTAAACCCCACACCTCAGCCACACCCACACCAGTACCCACTTTCTCTACAGCCAGATCCCCTGTCCACAGCCAGCCAGACTCCCCCCATCCACTGCCAGAATGTCCCCAAGTTCCAGCCTCCCATCCTGGCCCATCTCCACACTCTGCCCATCCCACACCCAGACCCTCCCACCAAGGCCAGCCCTCCCAACACCTACTCGAGCTCCCTCCCCACAGCCTGAGCCTTCTCCCACGCCCAGCTCCACCCAGGCCCAGGCCTCCCCCATGCATAGGACCTTCTCCACTGCCCCATACTCCAATGTCCAAGCCCCGACATTCCAGGTCCCACACGACTCCTAGCCATCCTCCCTCATGTCTGAGCAGCACACGCTCAGGGGCCTTCCCCACAGCTGTGCCAGCTACACCCAGGTTCCCTGCCCACTACCAGATCCTCCCCCTACCCCTTCGGGACCCTCCACACTCTCCTCAATGCCACCCACCACACACCCAGGGGCCCTTCCAAGGCCTTTGGGGTTTTGTGGCCACAATGTAACTAATGAGCATTGTCAATTCAAAGAATGTCTAAGACCAGGCACTGCACAGGAAACCATGGAACTCCCTTGTGAAATGCTGTTTTTATATGAAAAACACTTGATAGAAGTTTCTCCAAAATTGACAGCATCCAAAACTTTCACACGACACTGGCAATAATAAACGGTGAAACGGAATGCACATTTTCTAAACTATCAGTAAAAATTTTTACAGGAGTTGGTCAATCCTGCCAGAACATTCATTTATCTAACATTCTTTCTCATGGAAATTATTCAAGTATTCTACATAGTTAAGTGAAGCAGTGATCATTGTTATGCAGTTAATATTACCAGTAAAATTAATGACAGGCAATTAATTTTAAATTCTAGCATTTGGAATTTTGTTATGTTTTTTTTAAACTTGCAATTGTTTTGCTTTTGTTTATCATTCTAATATTACTTTTATCATTCTAAATAAATATAAACTTTCAAACAAACCTGTTATATTCATAATTTCATGTTCTTTTCTTAGAGATAACTCCCTCTATTGTGCCAACTTAGCTTCCACTTCTGGATCTATCCTCTTCCTGCCCCAGAAGGTGTGTGTCTGTTCCTCTGCAAGCCACACCCCTGGCGTCACTATTAGGCACCAGATGTACACCACTTCAGCTTTCAGAGGCAATGCCAATAATTTTCCAAGGCAGTTGCACCAATTTAGGAATGGAATTGAGACCCGTGCACTCCACTCTACCCAAGCCTCGGGACCTAGAAGGTCCTAGTCACCACTGTCAGTGAAAAGGTAGAAAAAAATAGCAAACTCTGCCCATTCCTCAAGGCATAAGTGGCTTTCCAGTTCCTCTCTGGTAGAGGCAATGGCTTCGGATACTCAGTGTGGAAAATCCCAATGTTGATCATTAGAAGTTAATATGTTAATATTTTACTAGTTTATTAAGAACGTAGGGGCATGTAATAGCTCTCAAGAATTTACAACATCAAACCGCAAGACATTTTAATTTTACATTATAGAAAAAGGTTAAAACTGCTACTTAATTTTTTAAACGCCATTGGATTTTTTTCCCCATTGTTTACCAAATTTCAGCTTCTTCAATGGCTCTTTTTAGTTTGGTAAACATTGATTGGAGGTACTTGTTATTCTCTCTTGTGGTCAGACTGGAGTAGAGTGGAACACTAGCTCCCTTTGTTTATTGGTAAACCAGAATAACAAATGGCTGCAAAATGTTGCTGGGTTTTTATTTTTATTTATTTTATTTTTTATTTTTTTATTTTTTCCAGCATATTATGGGGGTACAAATGTTAAGGTTACATATATTTCCCTTGCCTTCCTTCCCCTATTACTTACTGGGTTTTTAATAAGCTACTTCAGTGAGACAGCGGAGACTTTGTAAAGCTCTGACTTCATTTGAATCCAGATTTCAGGTGGCCACAAATCCAATGAATTCTTTATTTAACAGACATTCTTCCACAAACTGCTGACATTCACCTTCACGTTCTATGCTAACACAGAACTAAGAACTTTGCAGTGCCTTTGGTCTCTTGAGCCACAGTTTCTAAGAGTCTTTGAAGTTAAACATTCAGTGCCAGTAAAAATATTCTTTTTTCTATTACTACCAAGTAAGAAAGTGGTTCTCCTTATCAGACACTTAATCTCATTATAACCTACCTATTTGTATAAAGATTTAGGTAAAGAGTTCAATGGAGAGACATTTCTTGGAATAAGAGCCACTGGTTCAAGATAAGAAACCGTTTTCATAAATTATGCTCTAATCTAAAATCTGGGTATGTACTTGACTTCATTTGCTCAATTTAACTGGAGGAAATGGCAAAGAGAAATTTATGACTGTGGCTTCCAAATGTTTAAAACCTATGTTTCTATCACTGACCAACTCTGACTTCCCAGTCTAAGAAAGCTGTCTCTCTCTACCCCATCACTCTGCAACTGCAGCCTGCTTTTTGTGTCTTCACTCATCAATCCATACTTGAAATATTATACTGTCTTTTTCTGTCTCCTACTTGTTACCCCACCATGATATCAGCCCTTAGGGGCACGAGGTTTGTGCTACCTGCTTTGGAGCCCCCAGTGCCTGGAACAGCTTCGGAAGTATAGCAGGACTTCCTGATACGTTGAATCAATCACTAAAAACCAAGTAACTGTATTAGAATGAAAATACTTTGAAAATTGTGTTACATATAAATGACAGGAGGCTCTTTTGTGTTCCTGCACTAGGCTCCAACAGATCAGACTAAAAATCCAAATGGAGTCACATCTGG